ATAAAGATGAATTTAAATTTTAAGTGCAATTGAACCTATAACAAACAAAATACCGTACCCAAAAGCGCCTTTATCACATCAAAGTCATAAAAATAATATGAATTAGACACGAATTATATCGACGCTGAAGAGGTAAAACGTCTAACGGGCATTTGGAAAATATTACAAGAGATAGATTTAAAGTAATTTTTTTAAGAAAGAAACCGTAATACAAATTTTTACATAACCGCCTCCGTGGCCGAACGGTTACCATGCTGGACTACCACGCAGAGATCCCGATTTGGATTCCCGGGATGGAAGAAATATTTGTATAGCCTATAGTTTCCCTAGTCCGGGACTATGAGTACCTATGTGCGTTATTAATTTTATTCCTTAAACTAGAAAGTTTCAGCTTTCCCATATAACAAATAAAATTAAAGATATGATTTCATTTTCTAAAACAAAATTATTTTAAATCGCTCTGCTGTGATATTTTCCTAATGCATGTTTTTTTTACATTTTACCCTTCCAGTGTCGATATGTATGTGAAGTTTTATAACGCTCCTATTTAAGCATAAGAAGTTATCAAGTAAGTTCGTAGAATCTTAAAACTTCGCCCTACAAGTTGTCATTTTGCAGATGCGGCCTTATTACATCTAGGGTGTGATATAAAAGCCCGGAGTACAGGTAAACAAATATGTAAATAATTTCTGATTGTTTGTATTAGCAGTAGAGCTCCTTGTGAAACAGTTCGTCCAGGGAAGTACTGCCACCTTACATGTTTCTGCCGGCAGTAACGTGAACATTACTGCGTTCCGGTTTGGAAGGATAAGGGTGGTGTTAAAATTTCAGGGACATAGGACTTGTCATCTTACGTCTCCGGGTGACGGGCGCAGTGGGAGTTTTCCTCAGGTCTTTACAATTTAAAGCTCCGAGTGGCGCTGCAACTGTTATAGACAGACGTGTCGCTTTCCATCAGGTACACGACTTATTTGTCCTGTCACTTGGTATCATAAAAAATATCTTTACACAATTATGGTAATCAACAATAAGTTTATTATCATACTTATCGATACGCAATTGCATTGTTTCCGCTAGGACCACAATTTTTTCTGACCGACTACATGAAACTTGCAGATAAATGTGGTATTTCTCTAAAGTTGTCTTGAGAACAGATTTTATACTTTTTACGCCAATAAATTAGGTATCAAATACATATGCATGTCAAATAGAACCTTCATTTGCGTACAAATACGCTATATAGAGTAACTATATACACCTATGTTTGAAGCATTGGAAACACTCTGTATAAGAGCAAATAAATAAAGTTTCACAAGCCTTTAATTTTACGATTTCCACAATATTAGTGAGTGATTTTCGTTAATTCTCAAATTATATAGATTATATCTTATCTTTATTCGAAATAAAATGGCCGGTTTGTGATAAAATGTTGTTTTAGTTTCTGTAAAACGAATAATAAGAATGTAGTACTTAAATAGCCTTTCTTTAGGTATATCACCAGGATCATAGCCCAACAATATTCATGTTACAATATGAATCGATAAATTAAAAATAAATAATTAGTGTCAATCGAGTGGAGGTTTGTTTTTATTATTTTGTTTGGTTTATCAAGAGATGGAAAATACAGCATATTGTCTATAGAACGTAGAAAGAAATCGGCATTATTATGTGTTCAAATCGTTGCACAAATTCGTTTCTTTTGTTTAATAATTGGTACTTTTACTTTTCTTACGTAAAGTAAAAGCATACCAAATGTAATAAGACCACGTTTACACTACACTGCAAAAGGTGATCCTAAGTCGCCCCGCACTTTGTCACGAATCCGATCATGTCCACTTGGTTGAACATTCTTGTTCAGTAGACATATTAGGTATACCATTAAAATACCTTGTAACTTTAACTGGCTTAAATTTAATTTTACCTGGTGTAGTATGATTAAACGTTATATTTATAGTCTTTTACCATATACTATAAGCGTTGTAGACTGTACATGGGTAGTGAAAATATATCATTTAAAGTTTCATGGTAATGATATAATTTAATTATTATTTTCTCAGTGCAGAATGCTATTTTCTATATATTAAACTATACAGCTTAGTAAATTTTAAGCGATTACTTACTAAACTACATTGAAGAGTATATATATAAGGTATAGCGTCTGGCACGGTATTCAAGAAGACGTCGGTTCGAATCCGACCGGATCGAAGGAATTTTTTCTGAGTATTCGATCTTTGTATTAACAATTATAACAAACTAGTGGAGTAATTTCACAAAAAATAATGGAATATCAATTCAATAAAAATTTAATTAATACATTGAAGAGATTACTTTAAAATTTCTTTTCTTCTGTTATCGCAATGGTAAACCATCGTATTGCAATAAAGAACGAACACTATAAAAATTGTAAAGCATATTAAATGTGTCGTGACATTCGTCTGGCGCGGGGTCAGCGAGATAAGGCGAGGTAAATCCGAGATTGATTCCCGGATCAGCGGATAGTCGCGCGCTCAAGTGTAGACGATCCTTTACTCACGACTCACTGCGCACTATGACTGGGTGTCCTTAAGGGATTTGAGAGGTTACTTTTGGACACTTTTAAATCTGGGGTCAAGATATCCTAGCTTAAGCACAAGACCAAAAGTGTTCATTTCGTAAAGGATCAAAGTAAGTCAAATATTTTGTTTTGTTTAAAAAATACTCATCGTAACATGCCCTGGAATCTTACAGTGAATATTCGAAAACGCAAATGTTAAAAGTCGTAATTTACCGAAGTGCGAAGTTCCGTCACCTCAGGGGGTAGGTATATTCGCATTCCCGCGCTCAAAAGGTGTAAGAACACTCGCCTAAGTGTAATATTCTCGTACATTCTCGAATATTCCAGGGTATTTCGCAGTTCGGTCGCAATAAATCCCGCAGACTGATGCGGTGCTTTTTGTCGCGCGACATTTTTTCCCGCGCTAGCCGCGCATATATCACGCCCGTACAGAGGTGACTTATGCCCCTCTGTCTCAAAAGTCTCTCGCTTGAAATACCGCACCGTTTTTGCGAATGCCTGACTCGCTTACTTATTCTTTGTTGAGGTGGGTATCTCAGGCTCGGGACACATTTATTTAAGTTACGGAAACACGCATGCATGCACAAATTCTTCTAGTTATTGACGTTATGTTCAACGTTTACAGAAACCGCTACAGTAATAAATGCAACGATGCGAAAATTTCGCTAGCAAATCTCCGTGGATCTTAAAAAGATCAATCGCAAACATTAATTGTATAGCAACAAAGCGTCCCTTAAAATCCGTCAGGAGTGAACCGCAAATAAAACCAACTTATTAAGTGAGGTCTATCGTGACCGGGTCGTTTTATGGGCACTTTTATCCAGCGTCCATTCTTCTGAAATGCGATTAAAATTGAATAGGTCCATATGTCGAGGGCAGCGGGCCCGTTGCGTCACAATCACACGGCCGGCTGCATTTTCAATTTGCCGCGAGATAAGCGCGACTTTTGGACGACTTTTTCTGAGGAACGGCGGAATTGATCCAGAGACTTATGGGACAATGTAAGACGAGTAATTGGATGGTCAATTGATTCGCGTTCAATATATATACGTTTATTCATCGGGATTTTTTTAAAGACCAGTATTCGTTTCACAATAGACTTTATTTTATGCAGACTCTTCATTCTATTCCATTGTTTAAGGATGTTATGAAAATAATAGATTAGGACAATGTAAAACGAGTAATTTAAAAGTCAGTTGATTCGCGTTCAATGTATTTATATTTTATTAAGTATACACGTATATTTAAAGAATTTATTTAAAGTGAGCCGTATTATTTTCATACCTGGGGATCTACTCCAATTCTCTGTTCGACATCCGCCCGTAACAATCACTGCCAAATAAGTAATACACGACCAAATCAAAACACAATATCAAGTATGAAGCTTCATTCTTATCATGCATCTTCTAATTTAGTCGAGTATTATTTATTTGACAGTAATTGTCTCGGATGGATGTTGGACAGAGAACGGGAGTAGACCTCTATAGTTAAAAAAAAATTAGAAACTTGTGGAAGCGCTGCAGGGGCGTAACTGTGGAGTAGCAGCCGCACGTCTTCAGCGCAGCGCAGCGCTTCTAGTAGACATTTTTAGTTCGCTGTAGTAATTTAGTTCACTAATTGTGACTGCAAAAGTGGTGCTATAACTTCGCTTCGAAATATTGTATGAAAATTAGTAGTGGCTTTGCTGCAACGTTACAGTGGTGCCACTGCAACGTTTGTATAAGCTTCCGATTTGAAGGTGTCGTCCGATAAGGGTGTTACGAAAATGAAACTTAAAATTTAATATCAATATTGATAATTTATTCACAATTTTATTTAAAATACACAACTTCACAATGTTTTGTTTTAAAAACTAAAACTTTAGGTACGGGATATCAATACAGGCTGTCTGCAGTGATCGCTAATTTACATTATTTCCAATAGTCTTATTATGAATTCCTCATTTATTTTCTACAGTTTTCAATTTACATTTCCATATGTACATAATTTGGAATTTGGACATGAAGTCTGTGAACATAGAACTTCTGTTTAATTTATAGACATAAATAATATTCAATCTCTTAACTACTTTGTTAGCTTTTTTAAAATTATTTTGAATTATAGTTGCAATTTGTTCTCCTTTAACGTAAACTACAATTAATATCAAGGTGGTTTGAGGTAAAAGATCTATTATTCACAAACGTCCTTCCAAACAATATTTATGGCCACTTAATATCTTAATTTTATAACGGTATAGTAATACAAAATCTTTTATATTACATATTTGTGACGAATCAAATTAATTTTAATAAATTCAATGAGCGTATCCGATCTGTGACCAGCTGAAATGAAATCGTCGAATGATATCCACATTTCAGTTCTCCCTAATGTGTCTATTAAACTGCTATTTATTTACATTTCGCTTTACATAATAACTATTACATAAATTACTATTGCATTTCTTTCAATATCAACTACGCAAATAAAATATACAAAAAAAAATCTGCAATAACTCTCTGAACACATCACAATCCCTATAGCGAATCGAAATATTCAAAATTAAATACAGTAAAACAATTTATACAGGAACGGAATATAACTTAATATGTACAAAATACACAAAAAAAGGTTTTTTGAACTATACTTATATGTATAAATCATCTAAACTTCGTTACCGACCTTAATTAATAATATAATACTGTACAATTTCGCTAGTTACTTGTAAAACACTCTTATTTTTAATACTTGTAGGAAACTGATCTCGGAATACAAAAATCTTTTCACTCGGTTCGTGCTGAGACAAAACAATTTCAACTTTCGAGACAGATATGTAAGGTATATGTTCATCAATTCAATCTGCATCGTGTTTGTAAATGGTTACAAACATCAATTCTGTTGAACAGTCTTATAATTTATGTGATGTGTAGTACGTGGTACGTGACGTACTTTTGTATGTTGAAGTGAGCTAAGTGTGAAATCACAGCATTTCGCGTTGCCTCTGATTTCTATAAGGTAAATTCTTTTCGTCCAGCAGTGGGACGATGTCTGAGTTATGCCCGATCGGGAGGCTCTTTTGTTTGGTATACTTATCACGTGTATTCACTCCTCCAGCCAGTCTGGAAAGACAAAAATTAAAATTTGAATGAAAAAAATACCTATACCGAGGATTTATCTGATTTTATTAACGTGTGGACATAAGATAATACATAAATGGAATGTTCGATCGGGATAGTTACGCCGATTATTGATTAACCAACTTAATTGCCGAGCATAGCATTTGTTGTCCCCTTAAGAAGAAACCCATGTTTCAGCAGTTAACTTTGATGGACTAATGTGGTATGGAGTTACGGAGGAGACTAGAAGAACAAGGAGAATAGAAGTCCGCATCTACTCCGGAAGTGCTCGCGGCGAACATCTATGTGCTTTTTGGTTTTATACACCTGACAGAGCGTTACGATGAGTCCTCTTTCTGTAGCACGATAAAGTATTAAGTCAAAATATGTGACTTACCATAGAGTTGAGCTGCGCGAGGTGGTGGTGGTGGTAGGGGTTGTGACTGGCCGGCGGCGGTGCGAAGCCCTGATGAGGTGCACCGTACCAGTGGGACATATGGGCGGCAGCCGGGTGCACCAAACCCACTTGGTGTTGCCCTGTTCACGAGAAAATTGTACATTATTTTAAATACAATTTTTATGTATAATATTACTTACAATAAGTTTCTTGTTTGAATTGCCTTCGTGACCAAACGGTTACCGTGCTGTTCTGCAAAGATCCCTGGTTCGATTCCCGGGCCAGGAAATATTTGTATGGCCTGTATTTATTTCTCTCGTCAGTTTGGATGTAATTTGTGGTTGTGTGTCCATGGCACCCGTGATACAGGGTTTCCCTAGTGCGGGGCTGTGATTGTATACGCGTTATTATTATTATGTTACGGTGACAGTGAAGAAATTATTTTTTCTATTTCACGTCAAACAAATAGCATTTATCATCCTGTATATTGCCATAAAATGTAAGGAATACAAAACTTACCGAAGTCCATAGCGGATGGGAAAGCGGAGCCTCCGAAGCCTTTTGTAGCGTCTCCGAGTGGTTTGATCATGTCACCCATGACTCCACCAAGCGCTAGTGCGCAAGCGCCGCCTCCCCCAATGCCCATCCCACCCTTTTTCTTCTTACTCTTACTGCTGAGCTTACGATTTCGAGTTTGTATACCTTCTTTCTTCATTGTTAAAGGTCGATTTACCTGGGACCAAAAAAAGATTCGTTTATATATATTTTTTCCATGTTACGTCGTCTTATTATATATTTTTTGTTGTCTTCTATTCTCTTTTGTCTTAAGTGGCATCACTTCAATAACATAATTTATTGTGAATTAGTAAGATAAAACATGTATAGCTGGACAAAAAGACAATTCAAGTATATCTAGATATCCGTAGAAAAAAACTTCGAATATACACAGCACAAAGCAGATCGATTAAATTAAAACGCTATTTAAAGACAACAAGCAAAATAATGTAAACAACATCAAATAGCACAAGTTTTAACCGACCTACTTCCACTTTATTACTCTTAACATGACATTTAGTAATGAAAAAACGTCTGCGATACCAATTTAGAATGCTAACTAGCTGGCATAAAGGATGCCGAAACCATAAAGTGGTGGCACAATAGTATGCGAATATTCTGTTTAGTTTGTACCGGCGGGAGGACACTCGGTGCATCCTAATTACTGCACTTTTGCAGTTCCAACCGTTGTGGGAAAAGATGGCATTGTAGAGGTTAAAGGACTCGTGTCGCTGTCTTTTTAGGAAATAAATGCAAAGAGCACGTTTCGTTTAATTCCATGTTTATATACATGTATATTTTGGTATAAATGTCATATCAAACATTGAGTAGGAGAAACGCATTAACGTTTACGTTACGTTAACGGTCGGAGAGGATCATATTGGTTGAAATGTAATAACACGGTTTCTTCCAAAATGATTTATCTATTTTTCTTAGAGGCAACAACAACAGCAGCAAACAAAATATAATAAAAAAATCTAAGGAATTTTCCTTTGTGTTTGTTCGATCTTTTTGTCAATAATATAATAAGAAACTAGTGAAGAATTTTCATAAAAATTAGATTAATATTGTGGTAGTATAAACATCATGATATTAAATAAAAATAAAATAAAGCAAACAATTTATCCTCAAGAGAACAAAATGCGCTAATCAAATATCGTAAGCCGTGCACACTCTGATACATTATATCGTACTTGATACATAAAAGAATATTACAATTTCTTTTTTTTTTATTTTTAAATATCAAGTGACGGGACAAACAAGTCTTGCGCCTGATGTTAAACACTCCTGTCCATAACAGTTACAGTGCCACTCAGAGCTTTAAATCACAAAGATCTGAGGGGCACTGCCACTGCACCCGTCACCCTGAGACATAAGTTGACAAGTCCTATGTGTCCTTCAAAACCGGAACACATTAATGCTCACATTACTGCTTGGCAGCAGAAATAGGTAAGGTAGCAGTACTTCCCTAGACGAACTCTTTCACAAGGAGCCCTACTGCTACTAAATACAAACACTTTTGTCAACCATGTACATATATTACAACAATATACAAGTTTAGGTCAGCTTATCTCGGTACCTTAAAATCTGTACAAAAAATATTAATCAAAACACTTAAAAGTTTTTTCACAAGCAATCTGTTACCAATGCCTGGCATCAATGTCGTAATAACATTTATAAAATTATTATTTAGAAAGAGTAAGACGTATCTCAACGGGTACTTAAAATTATTATCGACTTATGATAAGTCCTTAAGTATAAAGTAGCCACTGACTGTCACTCTATCTGTGAACCACTTTACAGTACCGCTGGTAATACGTATTTACTAGTCATAGGAATACTAATATCACTGCTAATGAGGGCAAATTTGAATATTTAGAGCCATGTCTACATACACAATTTCTACAAACATATCCATTTTTTACCAGTGAATTTCAAATTAAATTGTATTAGCTTGACTTCACTATATTTATGCACTTTTAAATGTTAACTATAATAATCTATATCTTGATATTGCTTTTAACATATTTCATAATTGTAATAATTAATGACATAGCATATATACGAAATTAATAATTTATTGATTAAGTTATACTTAGTCATTGTAGTGCCCTTACTGGATTCATTTGCTGGAATCTTTTATGTAACACCTTTGTTAACCCATAAGAAACAATGCATAAGTTAATTATGACTTACAGTTAAGTTACTAGAGACAAAAGAGGGTAAGAGAGAAGCTAGCTAGTTCACAACTACTAGTATTTATGTGGTCAGTGTTCACAACCATTTCTTAGGAAAATGTTTTGGAATTCGACAGCTCTATTACTTTGCCAAATTCTCAGGTCAAATCGCGGTCAACATTGCATTGGTTTCCTCGAAGCGTGCGTCACGACGGTTGGACGGACAATGAGTTATTCATTGCGTTCTCGGGAACGCGGCGGTCGGTGGCGGCGGCGGCGGCGGCGGCATGTGGGTCCTAAACGCACGATTGCACTGCGCCTGCGCGGCCCGTGCCTGCCCATGCGCATTACCCGCTCTTGTCTGTTGTTTTTAAATAAGCAGTACATTGCTAATTGGATATCTACTTACAGAACTTAGGGCTCTCGTATCCGTATTTCGAATTTTGTAACATTATGTAAGGTCGAAGCCAAAATCGAAAATAATAAAAATCTTGTTTAGAGTATCTAAGACACTTACTTCTAACGAATTAGTTGATAACGAATAGTGCTTCATGTGAAAGAATTAGTCCAAAGAAGTACTGCCACCATACCTATTTTTGTCGCCAAGCAGTAATGTGAGCGTTACTGCGTTCCGGTTTTGAAGGGTGAGGGTTCTGGTGAAATTACAAGGACTTGTCAACTCGTGTCTCAGGGTGACGAACGCAGTGGCAGTGTCTCTCAGATATTTGCGATTTAAAGTATTGAGTGACAATACAACTGTCATAGATAGGCATGTCGCTTACCACGTAGCGCACGACTTGGTCATCTCGTCACTTGATGTATTAAAATTTCAAACTCTATGAAATAGTATGATCTCATTGGAAAGGACTAAGACTTACCTAACCATATATCCGATATATGGGCTCATACAACACTTTAATCCATACAATACTAGTAGATCATTCATAATATAGGCAGGAGACAGACTGCTCCATCAATTAGTACAAAGGGCCAGTCCAAAGTGCAAGTTCTAATTTCCCGAATGTTGTTAAAGAATATTGCAAGTGCGCATGCGTGCTGACGATGTCCCTAATGTGTTACCGCGAATCGCCCACTCCCGGTACTCTGGCGCATACCGCGCCGTCGCTGCTTCCAATTGAACCAATATAAAATGCATTAGCTTTAGTGCACTGGCGGCAGATTTGCAAGAATATGGGTCATTGTGAAGCCTTTTATATTCTTGTGATGTTTTGACTACACTGAAATACATTAATGTTTACTGCTTTAAAATTTGAAATAGTAAACACGAACTTCAGTATAGATTTTAAGACTCGTGGTTATACATTGTTACTAATAGTTACAAATTACTTACCACGGTATGACACGTTTAATGGTGTAAATAAAAAGATATTGGGAAAATAAAAAGATGACATATACAAGGTTCGAAACGTGTTAACTTCAATGGTATAGAAATATAACTAAATAGATTTTACATCGCATTTTGGAAAGACAAAGTATGCACTGTCAGCAAACTCGATACGTTACCACCATAGATATGTTACCACATTAAAGATTCCTTTTTGAAGGAATTTGGCGTGGTGTTACTACATTATACAACATATTTTTATTATAAACAAAAGGTTTTTACAAAAAAGTCTGTATTGGAACAGGGAATGCTTCAATTTTCTTTGACTTTTTCGACTGTGAAAAGCTACTATAGAGAAGAAGATAAAACATAACGTGTTGTAGCATACTTATGCTACAACACGTTTTTAAAACCAATAAGTATTTTTTATTCAATTATTCTACATCGAATATAATAGTGTTGCCTAATTAAATGCATCCTGTCACTTAGGATGCTATGTTTCATGCGTCCTTCGCAGTCATTTTCATATAGACTCGCTTAGCATGCATAACGCTGCCGTCCTGTGTATGTATATAGTTCGTTCATTCCTAAGCGGATCTACTACATGCGTAGACCGTGAATAGATACTTGCATATTGTGTTTTCAATTCTGTAACCTTTAAACGCTATGCATATTATTACGTTTAGAATGTATATTTTCCAAATAAAATTCGATTTCATTAAAGCTAAAATACAGTTTAAAATCGGATCATTGGTATATTAAAGTCACACGTGACTTTTGCATGAAACAAATTATGTGCATGTGAAATATATATATATATAATTATCAGACAACATCACATACATTGCTCCGTTACCAAAATAAGTAACAATGACATAATTTTGTGTTATGGAAATCAGAAACAACGACGATATTACAAACACCTAGACCCGAGACTATAGAAAAGTTAGTCTTTTCTATTAATTTAATTCCCTCGGTGAACGGTTATAATGCTGGTCTGCCACGCAGAGGTCCGCGCCGGCAGAAATATATGTATGGCCTATGTTTATTTCTCTCGTGAGTTTGGGTGTTATTTGTGGTTATCTATATATGTATGTGTCCATGATACCCGCGACACAGGGTTTCCCAAGTGCGGGGTTTAAAAAAAACATTGACCTCATTAGGGCAGTAGGTAGATACTTCTATTCTCGCCTATAGATCTCACGCAAGTAGCGACTTATCGTTTTAGCCCTACAGAGATAGCAACCCCGTGAAAACCGGCACAAACCATGGAGGTCGTCAAATTTTATAACTCTCCTTTCCATTTAAGTGTTCAAAAGTTATCGATTAATTTCATTCGAAGAATCTTTAATCTCTTTCCTGAAGAGTTATCATTTTGCAACCTGTGATCTTTGCCCGTTATTAGGAGTCAATAGGTATTCAAAAATATACTATAATCAATGCATGATGTAGGTACACAAAACAAATAGGTAAAATATACATACATGCGACCATCGTACTCATAGTAGGTATATAACGGCTGTATTGTATCCACAGTACATGACATATCCGCCATGTTAGAGCAGAAATTGCTTAATAACTAGCCATTATGCCAGGTTAATTACATCGTCACTGGTCCCACTCCCGTTCTCTTTACGTATATAATACCTACCCACG